TGTCGGATCTTGAAGATAGTGTTACAAGTCTTGTTTGAACAATTGGACTTGATGTAGACTGTGAAACTATCGTGGTGGAGGGCTGCGATGTCGTACTCGATTGAAAATTATTTAAGCTTGAATGAGATTTTGATGTTGATTCTAAAGAAATGTTACTACTCGGCGATAATACAGCGGTAACAATTGGCTGTTTTGATGTCGACGGGACAGCATTGTAATGTTTTGATAAAGATGAAATTGGTTGTCTATTTTGTATTGGAGCTACTTTTTCAGTAGATTGAGTAGTACTTTGGCCGTTGGAAGACTTTACGCCAGCAAGAAGGAGGCTACGTGCCACATCCATATTCATGTCAGCAAAAAGATCATCATCATTATTTGAATTGTCGCAATTATTACTTTTGTTATCGTTATTGTTGTTGTTATTATCATTAACAACTCGAGTGGACTTGCCAATCAGATCATCATCGGAATCATCAGAATCTTCCGGATCAGACGATTGTTTTATTATTTCGACAAGATCAAAAGGTTTTTTTGCTTTTTTACCCTTTTTATTATTATTATCATACAAGGCAGTACCACCGATTGTTGAATATACGCGAACAAGCCCATCAGTACCAGAAATTGCAAACATAGAGCCCGTATAGTTGAATGATGTGCATTTCATTCTATTGTTTGACCCAACTGCATTCACAGGTTTTATTTTAGAAGTAGGTCCAAAACTATTGTCAGTATCATCATATTTGCACACCCACGTATGCCAGTTGTCCGAAGTCGCGATCAGGTAGCGATTCTCGGCAATCGGAGTCGGGGAAAAAAGGATTGATGTCGCCATTTCGTCCTATAAACAAAAATTTAAGGAACAATAATATTAGTTGTAAGTTGTAGAATAATCAACAACATTTCTAGCGTTCAAATATTACATACCATCCCAAATCGATGTATTGCAGTGTATGTGTCAAGACTCCACACAACAACCGTTTTGTCATTGGACGACGTAGCAAGTAAGTCATTTTTACAGTTAATCGACATGTCCACTATTGCTTTTGTATGCTAAACATTCGATGTCGAATATTAATAAAAGTTGGTAAAAATATAATAATAATCATAAATATGAGTGTATATATGCACCCCATATAATGCCCGGAGTAATGATCCAGTACTTGTACACCATACACGGATCAATGAATCATCACTCCCTGTAAAAACTCTTCTTCCTGTCTTATCGAATATTACACAATATGTTGGTTGATTATGACCATCGAGCGTCGTCAATTGTTTCCAGCTATCATAATATACTGGGAGCGGACGATCCTTTGTAGGTCGTGGACCCCCCAGCTCCATTTGGTGGACAGCAATTTCTATGAATAATTTGGAAAACATTAATACATTTATGATTATGAAAGAGATAAATAAAAATAAATTAATAAATGACCAAATACCTGTTTTTTGATTAACCTGTCCACAGAAAATAGTTCCTGGAGTTAAATTTACAGCCTCTCGAAACTTTTTATTGGAATTTGGATTGTCTGGTTTGGCAGTTTCTGAATAAAGACGCCTAAATTCCGATTCATAGTCGTCGGCATGTTTCATCTGAAAGATCAAATTGTTCACATTTTAAATCAATAAAAATAACTATGATGTCGACAATTAACGTGCTAATCATACCAATTGTTCAAATGACTGAACATGTTTGTTTCCTTTGTGATCAGTTCGTAATGGAAGTAGGTGTGGCTTCCTTGATATATCCTCTTTGAGAATTTCAAATGCGCGCTGTGTATCTGGACGCTTTTGTAGAGTAATGAGTGTTTGGAGAAGTTGCACTACATTTATCCAATAAATGTATTCCAAAAATTTTTTAATAATAATAATCAGTAATTGATTATATAGGTGCAGTCGATGAAACAACTTGGACGTTTTTTTCGCGCGAGAGGTATAAAATAATAATAATGATAATAACTGTCCATAATCTCTCTAGATTTGTTGTTGTTTGTTATTGGGCAATAGATTCAATAAAGATTTTTTTTTTTTTTTTTTAAATGTATACTGCTAAATAAATTCTTTCCTCAATAATAAACTACGCCTAATTCTTAATCTACGAATTTCGACACGGGCCCTTTATCACCGAAATTCCCCGATTTACTTACCCC